GGCAGCAGTGGTTCTTGAATGACGCACCCCAAAACCAGAGAGGAGGGAGCCCGATTCCTCGTGGGGCCACAAGATTCCACCTTTGGCTATGGGTTATGTTGTTGCTGGGGCACTGTCAGCCCGAATCTGGTTTATTGCACACTTGCAGAGTGCCCTCTTACACTCTGGGACCCCTCGGGGGATGTCGGAGAGCTGGTTCGGCCTGATCCCCACAGGCCAGGCCAAGGGAACCCACCTGCCAGAGGGACCCCGCTCACTCCTCAGACGCTGGGAGGTTGGCTCCAGGGCATGTCCAGCCCATCTGGCTCAGTCCCGCTCCCCTCCCTCCCCCCACCTCCTAATTAATTTCCTTTCAATGTGCATGAATCCATGCACCATGAATATAAAGGGAATCCACGAGCCTATAATACTCAGCAAAAAGGAAAACAGGCCGTGGCCAGTGTTTCCCAGTGGTTAGAGTGTCAGCCTGTACCCCAAAGTTTTGCAGGTTCAATTCCCAGTTAAGGACATATACCTGGGTTGCAAGTTCAATCCAGGCCCCAGTAGGGGAGCATACAGGAGACAACCACTCAATGTATCTCTCTCACATCAATGTTTCTCTCTCCCTTCCTCCCTTCCATCCAATCTCTAAAAATCAATGGAGGAAAAATATCCTCAGGTGAGGATTAACAAAAAAAAAAAATTAAATGAAAAATAAGAAAAAACAGAAGTGAAAGGAAATCTATTTACAGAAAGCTGTCAGTGAATGAATGTGAAAAGAATGATGGATTTACAAAAATTACCATTTTGTAAACTTCAATAAGGTAATTGATTCAGAAATAGATCACCAATGTATGCTAAAATTGCTGGGGAGCCATCTAAAAGTATCACTACCTACATATTACTTATGTAAAAGCATCCTGAAGGTGGAAGTCCGGCAGACACCATCTTAGCCAACTGATCAAACTCAGCATCACTAATGGGACAAATGGACAATATGTGCCTCTTGCCATAAGGCAATGGAAAATAAATATAACCAAAATCATTTAACCTGAGACCCTTAAAAGAAAAATAAATCCAGGTTGTGAGACATCCTACCAATAACTGCCTGGACCCTTCAAAAATATGGCTGACATGAAAGACACCTATCCACCCCCTCCCAGAAAATGTCCTAAAAGGAGACTAAAGAGACAAGAGAACTAAATGCCATGTATGGCCCTTGATTAGATCCTGGATCTGGGAGGAATGTAGGAAACCACAGTAAAGTACTTTGTTGGGACAGTTTGGGAAATTTGAATATGTTGATAAGATAATATTGAATCATTGTTAAATTTCTTGGGTATGAAAAGATAACTCTGGTCATGTTGAGAAATGTCTTTATTCTTACTTGGTATAAGCTCACATATTTAGGGCTCAAATGTCAAAATGACAACCACTTTTCAAGTAATTCAGGAAAGAAAAGAAAAAAATGTGTATTGAGGTATAGAACAAATATGGCAAAATGTTAATATATTGGTTGAATCTAGATTAAGAGTTTATTAAACTATTCTTTCAACTTTCTGTAGTTTTGAAAATTCTCAAAATAAAAAGTTAGAAAAATAGAAACCCAATTTTTTAGTTACTCCCTATACATACATATAGCCTCCATTTGTTTGCACCTGCCAACCTGCCCAGAGTAGTTTTTCCTCACATCCAGACAAATTCCTCGAGGCCCTGCCTCAACGGCCACCTCTTCTATAAAACTTCTGTGATCTCAAAGCCTCCAAGATCCTTCTCGGAGCCCTAGCTGTATTCTGCCCTCACCATGCCCACAGCGCAGACTCCTATCTAGCTTCTCTGCCTCACCAGACTGACGCTCCTGAAAGGCAAGACCAAATGTCTACCAATTGTACTTTATAGAGAAGCCAGGACATATTTTCAACAAATATTTGTGAAACAAATAATTGCCATTTTCCAAGATGAGTAAATCTGCTCCCATGCATTCGCCTTTTCTATGCTCCAAAGTTCTCTTGTATAAAAGTCCATTAAGCTCTATTGATTTTTAGTGCTTACTCATATTCATGAATTATGAGTGGGCTCATAATGTATTTTTCTTAATAATTCAAATGTACCTATGCATTGGGCCTACCACCACTCAAGAGGGAATTTACAAGTTATTTGTGAATAACTTGGTGATGATTCCTTATCTTTTCCCCTTCTTTTTATCCTCCTCCTCCGAACCTTTACTGCACCAAGATTCTGGGATGATAGCATAGCCTGCTAGCCTGAATTTCTTAGAATATCAATGAAGTAGTGCTAAGTAGAAGCCAATGAAAGAAAAGAATAGTTTCCATTACACCTTTTTCATCAACCTGTATGTTCTTTTACGGGCTCTACTCCAGAACCTACCACACTATGCTCCATGTAGTTCCATGGAGAGGTTCAGCTCCTGAGCCGTTCTGTCAGCCTCATGAGGGATGGGATTCCCAGCCTCCTGTTCCCAGTCCTAGCACCTGATCATGATGTAACCACGAATGTCCGCTACCTCCCTTTGTTAGCTTTCTCTCTCTTACCCTTTGTGACACTTGATTTCAATAATTGTTTCTCACAGAAACTCCACTTGGTTCTTTTCCAAATGTGCCTCATCATTTTTTATCTTAGTCATTATACTTTCAATAACTTCATTTAAAAACATTAAAACTCAAGAGGCCTGGTGCACAAAATTTGTGCACGGGTGCGGTCCCTAGGTAGGCCTGGCCGGTGATTGAAGCGTGAGCATCTGGTGTGGAAAGGCAGGTCCCAGCTGACCTCTGGGCCCTGGGCAGCACCTGGGCCCCCGAGTCCTCCACCTGAGTCACAGTGCCTGAGTCCCCATGCAGAGATGTGAGCACAGCTGGACACCACGGGCCAGGGTGCAACGTGGGCCTCTAGGCTGCCCAGCGGTGCTGCACAGAAGCCGTGTGGGCACTGCACTCTCTCCTGGTTAGCCTCGCAGACCGGCTCCTGCATGAACCTACGGGGAGCCCAGCAGTTGCGGCCTGGCTCACCTGGAAGCCCACACACACACACACACACACACACAGTTCCTCATGCTCAGGCTTCCCTCCAGCACACCCAAAAGCTGCTGCCTCGGCTGCCAGTTTCCACTGTCTCCGCATCGCCTTGGGGAGGGTGCTGTTGCCTCCTGCTGTCTCCCTGCTTCCTCTTCCCCCCCAGTCTGCTCCTGACACAAGCCAGAGGGTCTGTCCCCACTGCATCAGCCCAGTGGGTCCTCTCCGATTGCTGGCTCTGCCCCTTGCCCAGGCCTGATGCCTTGGCCAGAGGCGTAGACCCCCATCACCCTCCGA